GAGGCGGTGTCATGAAGAGCCCCCGGGAGGCTGGGCCGCCGCCCGCCGAGCCGCAGCCGCCTGCAGGTCAGTGCGTGCTGCCCGCGGGGATGGGGCAGCGGCTGCGGGCGGATCCCCGCTCTGCCCGGCCCTGGGAGGCCTCCAACGCCGTGGGTCCCGGTGGGGGGCGAGGATTTGTGTCCGCAGCCTGCACCGCCTCCGGCCTTGCTGCCGGCCGGCCCCGCCCGGGCTCGGGGACGCGGGCAGGAGGCTTCCGGCATCCATCCAGGAGACTCGGCCAAGCCTCGGGCTTCACTTGTTGCTGACCCGCGCTGCTGCAGGGCCGAGGCTTGTCTGCTGCACCGGGGTCTGAGGCCAGTGCAGCCTGCCCCCCAGGTCCCTCCTGTCGGGCAGGGGCAGAGAGCGGGTGCTGACGGGGAGGGTGGCCCGGGTCTTATGTCCCCGCTGTGCCTCTCCCACTTGTAGCCTCCAGCATTTGTGGTTGAGGCAGCTCTGATTTACAGCCGCCAGCCCCTGCTCCCGCGCTCAATAGCGACTGATGCCCCTTCCCTCCAAGGGCGCATTGTCCCCTGGCGCTTTCCGAGCTGGGCTCAGCTGGGCTTGCACAGCACCGGGGGATGGGGTGCTCCACCCTGCAAGAGAGAGAGCTTCCTTCTGTTCATTTTAAACTGACTACTGACTCAGTTTATGACAAATGATTCATACCTTCCCATATGAGAAAACACCTGGGATTAATATTTCCTTTAGCATAACGAGTCTGAGCGCTCTGATCTGTGCTGGCCAGGCAGATTAACAGGAGAGAATGCCAGTTTTCAGAGACGCGGGAGGATGGCTTAAAACAGCACGATGCACGGGAATTTTGGAAGGAGCCCCCAAAATCCATGTTTGCTTGTTCCTGTTGCATGCCAGCTAGGACATACCTTCAGTGGAAAGTTGCAGCAAGTTAGAAGGATGATATTGAAAAGCTGATGTTGATCACGACTAGCTTGTATGACGTTGAACGCGTCTCGTTCTTGTCTTTGCATCAGAAGACTTGTGAAGACTCGATTCATGTGGTGTTAACACAGCTTCCTCAAGTCATCTTACTTCAAGCGGGAAGGTTCTTGAGGACACAAGGCCCTTGACCATCAAACCTGTTTGGGCTGAAACTGACTCTGGATACTTTAAAACTTCTGAGGTAGTGGATAAGGAAGCGAGGTTGAAACTGTTTCATCATCACCCTTGACAGTAGAAAGCTGTCATAATTTCTCCTGTTGGGGAGGGGCGGACATCCTTGCAGTTTATTTTATGGCTGCACTGTATTTCAACCCAACAATCTGAGGTTTTCTTATAGGGATTTTTTTTCTGTTTTACTTGGCACTGTTGTTGTGAGCTCATAATGCAGAAGGCCAAGAAGAGTTATTTCCAAGAGTTCATTTTCAATGCAAAATCATTTGAATAAACAGTAATACACCGGGTGTGTCACCGACAAGATCTGCATCTGTAGGGAAGGCTTCGAGATCTTTTCCTGTGGAGCTTTGTTGCTTATGTTTATACTACAGTCTTGATTAGCATTTCCTCTGGCTTGACCTGCTGCATTTGCCTGATGAATACTCCTGCTGTTTGAGTGCATTCTTTGACATGTAGAGGGTTTCCAGAGTCACAACATCTGTAAAAAAGAGAATGTTTTGAACGTACCACAGTAAGAGATGAAAATCTGTGGTTCCCCTGGTCTGCTGGAACTCAAACAGAGGCCCTGACCAGGGATTTCGCCAACTAGAAAAATGGATAGGAGGTGTGAGGAAGGTGCAGAATTGTCAGCAAAGAGGGAGTGCCAAGTTAAACCACACCTAAGTTTTACTTCTTGCTAAATGGACTTCTTTAGAAACACGTATTTTCCCATCAGCTAGTTGCTTCTCAGCCTCATTTTTTTAAAGTGCCCCAGTACAGCACAGAGAGCTGGCAAAAGAACTAGTGCATGGAAGGATATACCCATCTGGGCTTATTTACTTATGCTCTTAATATTAATGCATTGTTTTTGCTACAGTTGACTACATCCAGTTGAAAGTGCCAGTTATTCAGCAGCTGTACCACTGGGACTGTGGGTTAGCCTGCTCCAGGATGGTTCTGCAGTAAGTAATTGTTTTGGGTTGAAGGGGTGGGTTTGGCCACAGGGTGGGGAAAGTATTACTCATACTGCCAGACACTTCCATATATCAGGACTCAGTGCTAAGGGCGGAAGTTGGTAGAGGTAGCTGGCTGTGACCTAGCCTCCCAACTCCATCCAAGCATATTTTCCCCATACCCTTCCAAGAATTATGGCTGCCTGACTAGGCACAGCACCAGCTCTCTAGCAGGAGGAAAAGAAAAACAAAGCTGAAAGATTTAAGTAACTAACCATGTGTTCTGATAGATGCAAAATAGTTGATTAAGAACTCTGCTGATCAGCATGTTTAACCTGCTAGAATGTTTTCCCTGCAGAGTAGCATGGTTTACTTTACATGATTATATCCATCCTCCTTGCTGGGACGGTTACTTGGCACAGCAGTTCACTTAGTGTCCTTTCTGTACTTTTTCAAATAACTAGGAGTTTTAGCCCATATTAATAGACATTAGTATCTTGCCATTCTCCAGTAGGGTATCTGCTCTGCCAAGTAAACGTTTAACATTCCAGAGATTGCTTGAGTTTCAAGACTATGCTCTGTGTTGCCCGGTTTGTAACGTGCTAGCTTCCTGCTGAACTCGTCTTTCCTTCCACAGAGGAACATGAGCTTAGGTGCAGGAGAGTGAAATACCTATTTAGATGTCCACTTAGTAGCTATGAAGCAGAAGATTTTCATTTCTCTCCATCCCTTCTGCCAAGACGTTAGTCCGTGTGCTGGTAATTTCCCATCTTGACTACTGTAACCTCTGCCTCTCCTTCCCCTTTCACCTCTTTTCCTCTCCTCCCCATTTACAACTCAGCTTCTAAAATTTTATCTTCTTACCCTGCTAATGTGACCTTGTTTCCTCCCCTCCCTGAATGCCTCCAGCTTCTCCTTTTTTCTGTATAAGTTCAGTTGTTTCTCATTTACAAAGCTTTCTATAACTGCCCCTGAATAAATCCCTGGTCTCTTGCACCCTTTTCCACTTCAGTTAGAGCGCCTCCCAACTAGTTCTTTTCTCTCCGTTGTGACCTTCTTCATACAAGCCTCAATGCCTGAGATACATAAATATTTACAAAGTTTCTTTCTTCTTCCTCCAAAAAAATTATTTTAAAATCCAACTATATCTTGAAGCAACCCAGCTCTAGTTCCCACCCCTGTTGTGCTTACTTTATATTGTACGTGTGTTCTTGGACTGTAAACTCTTCAGGATAAGACCTTATTATTTGTTTAGTAGAGTTTACCTACTGTGCAGTATTCTGTACACCTTTAGCACCGTACAATAATCAAGACAGTAATAAATTTCAAAGAGAAACAGTCATGTGTAATAAAACCAGTGAAGTCCTCCCTGCCTTGCCTTTTCCCTCCTTTGAAATTTGTGATGCATTTGTGCATTATATTGTGATCATTTCTCAACCAAACCCTGTTGTTTCAGGTTTTCCTTTCTGTGATGCTAAGAGGCTTGAACTGAAACAGGCACATTTTGCTAATACCTGCTTCCCCTTCCTCCCAATATCTCAGGTACATGAATCATTTGGATGACGATGAGTTTCAGAAGGCCATCCAGGAACTTCGATTAACAAAGAGCATCTGGACCATTGATCTGGCCTACCTAATGCGGCACTTTGGTGTGAAGCATCGGTTCTGCACACAGACGCTTGGAGTGGACAAGGGCTATAAAAACCAGGTTGGCATCCTCATTCACTGGGAAGGAGCCGGTGCTTTTAATAACAGTCCATTAGGGTCATGCTGGTGAGGACATGCTGTGTTGTTGTTACAGTTCCCACAATTCTGTAAAAACAGTTTGTCTACTATCACACAGTCCATGAAACCATTCCAGAGCTGAGGCTAGGACACAGTCCCAGAACTTCTCCATCTTCGATTCCAAAATATGCTTGTGAAAAAAAATAGTATGAATTTAGTGTTCTTGAAAGGTTCCAGCCTATCTGACAGCCTTGGAGACTGAAGCCCTCTATTTATCCACAGAACAGGTACAGCCTGGGCAGTGGCAGTGCTAGCCTCCACAACTCTTCCCCCACCAACGTGCCTCAACCCTGACCTGGAGGAACCACCTCTAGAGGTGAGAGGGGAATTAAGTCTCCATGTCCATGCAATCCTTGGCCTTTGTTGAGACTGCCAACAAGGGGGCTAAATAGTGCCAAGAGTTGTGATGGCTTTTCTGATGTTGACTTGCCTGCCCAGTAGGAACCAGTGTGAGACTACCAGACTCATCTCACATAGGCAGCTGAATAGCCATCAGATGAAAATTACATCTTACTTACCTGGCCTGAATTTGAACTGATGACCTAGAGCAGATTCTCACCCAGGGATGTAAAGAAGAAAAATTTCTTATCCCTTTAGCAATCTTGTGCCCCAGGCCATGCTAACAGGGTCTCTTAAACTGTAGATTAACTGAGGATGAGTTTAATTCTGGCAAATGTTCATCAAGTCTCTTCTTTCCTCAGTCATTCTACAGGAAGCACTTTGACACGGAAGAGAACCGGGTGAACCAGCTGTTTGCACAAGCCAAAGCCTGCAAGGTGCTTGTGGAGAAATGGTAAGCATGTTGGTTCATTTGTTTTTCCCTGGGAGCTCCGATTCTCTTCTCACTGGTGTAACTACAGTCAGTTACTTTTGACTTATACTGGTGCAAATCAGATTAAAATCAGGCCCTACCTTTCTTCTGCTCTTTCCTTTGAGATGGAGGCAGAGGACAAATGATGAGATGACTGGGAAAAGGAGGAGAAAAATGTAGGGCCATGAAAGGGAAGGAAGAGCGTTCTGGAATCACTAATAGGACACTTATTTATTAGGTTCCTCATCTGGTCTTCCACTAAGGCTACCCAGTGAAGAATACCACTCAGTATTCTAACTGGCTGTTCTCAAATAACTTTGCTATCCATAAGAAAGAGAACATTGTGTGATGTGAAACCCATTGCTTCTAGAACTATATTAATGCTGCCTAGATGGAGAAACAAGCAAAAGGCAGCTTAATTGGAAACCCTATAAATGTTGCCAAATAGCTTCAATCTTAAGACCGTTCTGTATTATATAGCCCTGTTTCCATCACAGATGATGGAACCTCCATGAAAGCACTTGCAAATGTGGGAGAAGAAAAGCACATGCAATTTACTTAAAGCCTTGTAATTACTTGTGAGATACTGCAAAGGAAAAATTGAGTAGAAACCACATGAGCATTTAAACAGAAGTCAGGAGTTGCACCCCCTCCAGCAAGGCTGAATTTAGCTCTCTCTTGTTGTTTACTGAACAGATGAGTAAGAAGCAAGGGAAGGCGGCATTTGTAACTTGAAATTGTGACCTTATTGTATTTATATACTCTTTCAATGTGCGTTTACCATACTTATTAACTAATTTATCAAGTTTGTGTGCCTGTTTGCTATTCATCTAGTGCTACACCTAGGAAGAAGGGAGCAGCAAAATGTTGAGTCATCTCTAGCATACAAATAAAGCTCCAGCTTTTGGCTTGCATTAGAGTTGGGGAAGGCTGTACAAGCATCTGTGTAACACTGGGAACATTTAAATGGCACATCAATTCAGCAAGGGCTTGCACATGGCCTGAACATCTGGATGTGATCCAAGAGTCAGGCTGAGAATAAGCATACCATCTGTCTGTATCTCTGAGGGAAGGGTTTCAGCTAAAACAAGCAAAATTACTGGTTGGCCATGAGCAAATTTCCCCCTCTAATACCAGGCATCATGAAGTATTAGTAAAATAATCCTGGCATGGCCAAACAGTCCAGACCTGTAACTGAAGAAGCTGTATGTTCCTACTTGGCAGACGCAGCTTAGGGTGCAGAGATGAAGATGACTACACATTTACAAGATCCCTAGATCCTCAGCTGGTAAAAACTTGATTCTTCAGAGAGAAGCTGCAACTAGAGTTTAGGGTAGATGGGAGGGGTTCAGTACCAGTCAAGAGCACCCTTGACTTTCCTATAACTTCTGTAGCTTCTCAGGTGTTGAATGATTTACTCACCACCTCTCACAAACATGCTGCTTCTGAGCACCAGTTGTACTCTTAGCTTCCATTTAAATCAGTGCAGCTAAAACAGTTCTGCACTTCACTGGCAGTGATAGGATGATGATGTTTGAATTAGACCACGTTGGTCCCCAGATGTAGCCGAGTCCTTATTTGAAGTTCAGCAACACATTTTGTACTCGAGTCCTATAAATAGGGACCTACCTAAATCATGGCAGAAATTCGGGGTGCAGCAGCACCTCTTAATCTTGCTCTTTTTGCCGTGTCCCCCTCTTCTCCCCTCCCCCTTACCGCTGAGTGGCCGAGAGGCAAAAAGAGCAAGATTAAAGTTGTTGTTGTACTGCGAACTTCCACCATGATTTAGGAAGGTCCCTACTATTAATCATACCACCAACTAACCAAGATGGCTACTGTCCACTTTCACCTGCTTGATAAAGTTAGTCCAACAAATACAGATGCCTTTCCTGGCTGTGCTTGTGAATGTGAGTGTCTGAATTTCTCTCTGCAGCACGGTGACTGTCCAGGATATACAGAAGCACCTGTCCCAAGGTCACGTAGCCATTGTTTTGGTGAATGCAGTCCTGTTACTGTGTGAACTTTGTTCGAGCCCTGTCAAATATTGCTGCTTCCTCCCCATTGGCCAGAAGTGCTTCTGCAGGAATCCTGACTACCAGGGCCATTTTATTGTTTTGTGTGGCTACAACAAAGCCTCAGGGAGTATCTACTACAACAACCCTGCCTATGCTGACCGTGAGTAGTAACAAAATCTTGCTTCATTCTGGGTGGAGGCTCACTTTCTTCTTTCTAGAACAGGGGCAGGCAATTATTTTGGGCAGAGGGCTGCTTACCCAGTTTTGGCAAGCTGTCGAGGGCTGCATGGTTAGCCCTGCCCCTTGGCAGGTACCCCAGTCACCATCTTGGGACCAATGTCCCAGGGCCAACACCAGTGGGCCCCAAAGCGGGGTGCAAGCTGGCAGGGGTCTGTGGAGCTGGGCTGGGCTGCACCAGCAGGGAGTGGGGAGCTGGCCCGGCTCCATGGAGCCCCTGCTGGCTGGGACCCTGTATCCCTGCTGCCCTGCCCTGGGCCCTGCTGGCGCTGGCCCCAGAACACACTGGTGTGGGCCCTGCGCTCCTGATGGCTCCCTGCCTGCTCACTCCCAGTGCCCCTAAGCCCCGTGGTACAGGCCGGGGGGGGCAGCGTGCAGCCCTGACCCCCTGCTTGCCAGCAGGGAAGGAGCTGGTGTGGAGCTCAGGGGAAAGTGGCCCTTGCCCCACCCCGTGGCTGGTGCTTCCTGCTGCAGCCGCACACAGCCTGTGCAGGGCTGTCCTGAGCAGGCACAGGCAGCCCCAGGTGGGCTGTGAGCAGCTGCAGCACAGGGCGCCGGCTACGGGGCTGCTTTTCTTCCCAGGGCTCAGCCCCAGCTTGTAACCTGCCCCCACAGCCAGTCTGGGCTCCGTGGTGGCTCCGGGCTTGCCCATTGGGCTGTATTGCGGCAGCAGCAGCTGCGGTGCCCCCGCTTGCCATGCTGGGCAGTTTGCTGCTGCTGCCTGCCCAGAGCTCGCATGCTGGGCAGCACAGAGGCGGCGGTGGCAAACGCTGCCCAGTGCAGCAAGTGGGGAGGTTGCAGCTGTAGCTGTTGCATGCAGCCCTGACAGGTGAGACTGGAGCTGGCATAGGGCCCAGGCTGGCTGTGTGGGCAGGTTACAAGTTGGTGCTGAGCCCGGGGGGAGAAAAGCAGCCCGGAGCCAGCCCTGTGGTCGGCGCCCCGTGCTGCAGCCATTCACAGCCCGCCTGGGGCTGCCTGTGTCTGCTCAGGACAGCCCCGCATGGGCTGTGAGCGGCTGCAGTATGAAGCGCCAGCAATGGGGTGGGGGAAGGGCTGCTTTTCCTTGTGCTCAGCTTTTCCCCGGGCTCCTTCCTTTCCCTTCTGCCCCCACCTTACCTGAGTTTCTGGTGCCAGTGTAGCCACATGGTCCCAGGCCAGAAGCCCCTGCTGGGGCTTCTAGCTGGGCAGGCCCTGCTGCTGCGGCAGCCTGCCGGGCTTCCCCTGGGTCCTACTGGCAGATAAATGTTAATTTTCTAAGTTTTTTAGGGGCCCCGTGGGCCAGGTAGAATGGCCTCATGGGCCGGATCTGGCCCACAGGCCATATTTTGCCCGCCCCCGTTCTAGAACATGCATAAAGTAGAACTAAGAGTATCCAAGATAACAGGAGTTGGAATCAGGCAGCAACGTCATGAGGTTTAAAATGGCTGCTGCTGCGTTCAGTGATTTCAAACTGCTTTCTGTGTTGCAAGTACACTTTTCAATAGGCTCTTGTATGGTCCCATCACCATTGCATTTCAGAAGCTTTGAGTATTAAGAAGGATATGGTTTGGCAAAGCAAAACTATGTATGTTGTTCTGCAGCTAAAACCATAAGCAAGATGGTGTTTTAAGTCTATGTAGCCCCCTTGCAACCATCACTGAACCGCGCATTTGCTTTGACCTGCTACTGGAAGTAAAGACTGCTGGATAAAGCCCAAGAGATGTTTCGGAGTGATCTACTGCTAGTTCAGTTTTCCTGGTGCAGGTTTTCCAAAGGCAAGCTAAGCACTTGTGAGCAAATTCTTCTCCAAGCTGAGTCTAACTAACAATTTGCTTTTGCCCCACAGGAACATGCAGCACCAGTATCAGTAACTTTGAGGAAGCCAGGACAAGTTATGGGACAGATGAGGATATTCTCTTCATCTACATGGACAGCTGACATCCAAGTCTGGTACTTCCTGTCATTCAAGGTGCAGTCTGCCCAGTGGCTGCATAGCAGCTGGCTGCTTGTCTCAGGACTCTCACTGCACAGACTTTGCTCCTGCATTGCAGTGGGATCTTAAATAAGGGATGCTTTATAGACATTCGTAGAACTATATTGCAGTGCTATCTTCATCTTTTTATTCCTGATGAAATATTTGATGTTGCAAGATATATATATTATACACACTTGTACATTTTAACATTGCACATTTGACAGCATTATAAAGTGCAGTCCCACCAGTCAGGCTTTCTGTCAGCCGCCTGTTTCTGAATTAAGCATACAAAATAAGATACACCAAGTGCATGAACTAAATCATCATTTGGGAGTTTAAGCACAGGCTTTACTAAAGAGAATGAGAGGTAGAAGGAGAGCAAATACCTGTTTCACTCTGGTTTGCCTTCAGAACTGCAAGGCCTGATCTTCTTCTGACACTGAGATAGCTGTGAGCCAGTCAGATGTAGTAAAGAAAAAAAAACGATTAATGTAGCCAACAGATTTTTTTTCTTGAAGTAAGAAAATGATTTGTCAGCTTATGACCCAACGATGGTAGAATCTTTTTAGTTCTGTTGCATTATGAGAATGAATGTATTTACTGTAGCCCACTTCCTCTATAAACTCAGCTGGACTGCCCTCACCACCTGCACTTCTGGGCTGAGTTTGCAGTATGATCTTCTCTTCAGTAGATGTACAGTTCTTCCCATGAAGGGCTACAGGATACTGTTTCCCAGCATTAAGCACTTGAAGCATTATTTTACCTATCTTGCTATACTGGATGAGTTAAACTCCTCCAGAATATCTTGCCCAGAGTCCATATTACCCCAGGACACTGAATAATGACATTTTATTTGGGTCTAGGGATTTTTGAGTCTCTTAACAGACCTGAGAACACCTTTCCTCTCATGATGCCATCCACATATGCAGTTTTCTCCAGTATTCGGAGAGGGAAAAGTCTTTGTACACATTTTAAACTGATTAAGCAAACGCAGTAAGTAACCTCTGACGCACTAAGGGTTTTATGGTATGTGTGCACAGAGACAACAGACTTTGCCAAAAGGCTGCATTGTAACTTGAGGCCAAATTTTGCTGTTGAGATTCAGCTGGGGACCTCCCACAAGTATGTGCAAGGAGTGCAGACTCCTCTTGGTTGAAATCAAAAAGACATTAGGACAGGAACTCAGACTTTCTACCTCTTCTGTGCTTTGAATTAAGCAGCAGTAGTTTCACTCCATTACGGTGTTTTAAGCTAAACTGTAAGAGTTAGGGGGCTGCACATGGACTGCTACAACATATTTATTTGTAGTCAGTTATGTGAGCAGCTCTGTGTGGTACAGAAAATAGCTACCAAGTTCACAAGTTTACCTGTAGAAGTCCTGGAAATACTGACTCCTAGTCTTGCCACTCTACATTCAGTTCTGAATTTTGTTCACAACAATCTAAATGTGCTTCATTAGATGACCTTTAGTGTGTAGAGCCAGCTAGACAGTGGCAACCACTTCTGGCCCAAAACGTGACCTCCCATAAAATGGTAACAACTGATCAGAACTGCCCTCCTAATTCCAAAGATTTTTTTTTTTTTTTAAAGAAAAATGATTACCAATGCTGTAGGGTCTGTGTTATAATTTTGCATCCAGACAACCAACAGAGTGTACGCTTCTTATAAATGCTGTCTTTTCTAAAGCTGTTCTGGAGAACTTAATTGAGCAGAATAGTACAGCATTATTCTCTGCAGGTAAAAACACTGAAGAGGCATTCAGTGTTTATCACATGATAAAAGACAAAAATTGTAAGGAAAAAATATCTATGATCAGTTGGTTTGCAAACACTACAGAGTGCCAGTGAAGTACCTGTAATGTGTGTGCTCAGTATAATCTTGAGTGCCTCCTCCTTACAAAGTTTGGAATATAGGTACAGAGGAGTAAATACAGCTGCTTTTAAGTGTAAAAAAATGAGCAGTGAGTAGGTGCTATGAGGAAACCATGCATTTGAACTCCCATTTCTTTGAGACTGGAATGTATTGAGGCACTTGCTGCAAGTGACCAGGAATTAGGATGCAAATGTGGGGGTGGGGAACAGAATAGAGACATCAGTGCCATTGTTAGGACTTAGTGCAGTGGTCCTGGGGCCAAAACCAGAAACAGGTATTGCCTTATTTCTACAAACTAAACCACCATGTGGCCACTGACAGAATTCTGTGGCCAAGTCCATCTGTATGTCGTCTAAGTTAGGAAGATCTTATTAGCTATATTACTAATTAACCCATCTGTAAACTAATTACAGGTTCATACAATACCTCTCTAATCCATACTTTCTCCAGTCAGGTAACTCATTCAACCTCATCAAATCACCATGGAATTTATTTTCTAAAAAAGATCTTTTAAGCCCAATGAAAACAGTTATTACAGAAAAGAGTAGTATGTTTCACCAAGCAGCCAGTCTGAACTGGACTCCACTGGTTTTGCTATTCAGATGCAGAACCATGCATTAAACCATGGGAGGGAAGCCTTAGATTGTACATGAATCACTAGAGGCAAAACTGAATCTTGTTTCATTGTGAAAGTACCTAGTATAAGTGGGTTTGAAAAATAAGTGTGGGTGTAACTATTTTTACTGCTGTTGTATTAAGTGTTTGGGTATCTGGACTTCAAACAGTTCAATAGAACGTAATGATTTAAAAAAATTAGTTGATCAAGTGACAAAGGGAAAAAACATGGGACACCCATGGCAATAGAATCTCCTACAAGTCAAGTGAAAGACTGATGTGGGAAATGAAAACAAAAGAGAGGCAGAAGCCACGTGAAGACAGTTAATACAGAGTATTTGCAGGGATTAAAATTTTAGGTTAAAAAAGAGATTGGGCAAAAATTCAGAATGTCAAAATTCTCTTAACACATACCTAATTTTTTTCTGTTTGAAGTTTGTTTGCTCTGAGAATGTTTGTCTAATACTTTTTTATCCTCACTATCCACAGCAAAAAAGGGATATTTTACATGCAGAGATATTTTATACATAAATATATTTTTGTTTGTAATTGAACCATACACAATAAAGGTTTAAAGTCACTGATAACCGTATGGAATACTGTAACAGCTGTTTGTCATGAGTTTGTTATGGGGAAAAGTGTCTCAAGATCTTTAAAGGAAGTCTTATATATTAAACTAGAAGATAAACAACTGTAATTGCCATTTTTGAACTCTTATGAGTTAAATATTTACTTCAGCTGTTAAAGCACCATCATTAGAATTTAGGTTGGTTTCCTGCCACTTTTCCGAGACAAAATTGACCATTTAAAATTGGAGATATAATACTGGAACACATGAAACACTTAGAGCTTGCAATCTGCATGCAGCTATAGGCATTCCTCACAGCAACTGAGTATCCATTGTGCGAGGGCTTTATACCAGGGGTAAGCTAATCACAACAGTTTCTCTGCACTGTAGGTATAAAGGTAGGAGTGTTGCAACTGAAAAATGTAGCTGCTGTGTGCAACTCCATCTCTCAAAACAACAATAGACTTTTGGAGGTTATATAAAAGCCGGTCTCTCTAGCAGTACTGTAGAGTGACACAGACATTTTCAAAGGCACTATGCTAGCCATTGTCTGTATGGTGTGGGGTAATAGATGTGTTAAACATGCATCTCTGATCAGTGTCTTTGCAATGGTTTCCTTGATTTGTATGTGCATATCTTTAACGGATTACTATGGAGATCTTGTCCACACCACTCATTCCCTAGTAAGCAGTCGTAACTTCTTTGGCAGGTCATTACCTGGTTCTAGATAGGCTGTATTAAATAGTTTATAATTAAAACAACACAAAGAATAAAGTTTAAGGTATTGTTTGCCTTTGTGGAAGCTGGAGGAGTTGCAGGGGTGGGAGAAGGGATTTAGGGTCAGTGTGCTAGAAAGGGGGGATAAAAACAAAACAAAACAAAACAAAAAGTTTAAAATTGCCAAAAATCCCCCGGAAAAGAACGAGCTTATTCTTAAAGACAGAATTTAAACATTGATACTGGGAAAAACCATTGACTAAATCAGGTAAAAACTACAAACACAAAGACCGTGTCCACTCAAGCATGGAAGATTGTTTCCCCCGGGGACAACAAGCAGCAGGGTATCTTGTGCCACTGTTACTTGTCCCTGGGGAATGCCATGTGCCCTCTTGCACACGACAGGTTACCCTGGGGGTGGAGGGGTAGGGGCCAGCACTAGGCTGGCCCCAGCAGCCTTACTTGGGGGCCTCCCGGGGCTGCAGCAACAGCAATCCTGCTGCTTGGAGCCTAGTCAGCAGCTGGAATATGGCTGCAGTAGACCAGGCTCTGGTTTTGGGTGGAGTGCACTGTCCCATGCATGTGTCACCCTGCTTCTTTTTTTTTTCCCCCTTTGTGTGGTCTTTGTGCCCCTCCCCATCACTGCTATCTTGCAACATAGAAAACACCTGAATGTGCAGTATGTGGTGCTGCAGACGTGTCTGTGGCGCCACAGACCGCACGGCCGCACTTGTCTGGACACAGCCACAGAGTGTGTCTACTCATTATTAATGCAAAACAATAAACTGGTGTTTATTGCACCAGAGTTTATTGTTCCCAGGTGTGCCATTTGAACGTGCGCTTAGGACTGCAACACATTGAGCTGGGGCAGAGCAGCCCTGGCTGGAAGGCAGCCCGGAGGTCAGCCTACCAGCCTAGGGCTGCTCCTGCCTAGCTCAACATGCTGTGGAGGGGCTGGCTTGGGCACGAGGGTGCTCCAGTTTGGTGCTAGCCAGCAGGCAGCCACTGCACTGAAGCACGCTTATGCCCCAGCCAGCCACATCAGCATCTACACATGCAGTAAAAAAACTCTGCAGCAAGATAGTACTTGTAAGTACTTGTGTATTTACAAGTGCTATCCTGCTGCGGATTTAATTAGTTTACTGCAGCCTAACTGCCATGCATGGGTGGATGTGAGACGTTTACTGCGGAGCTAATTAGCCTACTCCACAGCAAATGTTTTGTGTAGACATGCCAAAAACAATTCAACAGGTAGCAGCCTGCTATTCTTGTGATGTCTAATCAGCTTACATTTTAAGCTATAAATGTTAAGGGTCTTAATAATATTGAAAGGAGGAAGGTGCTCTAGGCCAAAGCTGAATTACCAGAATTTTGCTTCATCTAAGAAACCCACTTACATGGTAAACACATAAAAGGCAAGTGGTTCCTCTCCTCCCCCTCCCCCACATCAGTATATGTCCAGGTAAATTGAAAAAAAAGAGGAGTTGCAATTAGCACAGCAAAACATAAACCTTCTCAGCTACAGGAAAAATACATGGATGAGGAAAGTAGCTTTATACTTATTAAGGGAACTATTAGTGACAGAATGTTAACTTTAGGGGGCATCTGTGTACTTAATCAGGACTGGATGTCTTTCCAGGTTTAGAAAGACATCTCATACTTTAGAAAATATTAAAAAGACAGATGATGTATTGGGAGGAGACTATAACTATTATGGACCCAAAAGTAGTTAGGTCTGACAGAAGAAGTATAACAAAAGATAGAAAATAAATCACTGCACTAAAATTATTAGTAGATAATCATGAACTTTTTGCCTTTTTTTAAAACTCAAATTTACAAGGTAGGCCATTTTTAGAATAAACAGTTTTCTAAAAAAAAGTGCATTATATTTTCAAAGGATTATAGTAAGGTTTTTGGAGTCAAGTGAAAAAAAAGACTAAATCTGCACCTGGAACTTGTACAGTAAAGAAGAGACAAGAAAGAATAGGAGAAAACATTTATTTTTAAAAAGAAACAGTCTTGCTGCTTAAACTTTTCTAAATGACTAGAGTTCCTCTGAGTTCTTTTCCCTCAATTGTCTGGATTAAGTATCTAAAGTGAGTGTGGGGAAAGGAGACAAATAAATATATCCAAGCAAGACACTAAGTTATCAAAATATTACTTTTTTCCCTTTATTGAACCCCTCCCACATCATACAGTCTTCTCCCTGCATGCAATACTCAATCAATGCTATCACCATTTCTTGTACACATATGTCATAATATTTACATTTCTAGTAGAAGAGTCAAAGGGTTTAAGTTTGGAAACCTTTAATCTTTACTACAGGAAGAAAACAACCACACACTATGAAACTGTTTGAAAAATCATTTTACTTAGCAGAGTTTTGAGCACTGCTATTTAAAAGTTGGATACAGGAAAGTAAGATGACAAAATCCTGAGATTTCTGCCAATCTAAAACAGTATTGCCCAGTTACAAAATACCATTTGAAATCACTGAACGTAATTCAGATCCCTTTGGTTTAGCCACAGTTTAAAACGCTCTCTTGATGCAAACTGACCTTTGTGGCAAATCTAATCAAAGCTGTGCAATTCACAATAGTTTTATGAATGTTAATGTTAGATAAGGCCCTAACAGAACATGCAATGTTTACTCCTGCTTGACTGAAGTTTTAAATTGTAAAGCATTAAGATGCAAACAGACATTAAGGGCTAGAACCTGAATTCAGTTATACCAGTGTCAATCTAAAATGATGACATGGATTTCACTGGAGTTGCTCTAGCTTTAATGCAACAATGGACCAAAATATGGTCCTCAACCTGGAAAAACTACAGTAATCCATGCTGATCCTGCCATTGCTAAGATTATTTCCTCACACTGTTTACTTGTCTGAAGCATTCCAAAAAGGGCATTTCCACTGAGACGAAAAATCTACTCTTTGCTTCTGCCACCAGAAATCCAGTTAAACAATATCTCTTTTTCTTAATCTACCTGCTCTAAGTCCTTGTAGAAAGGCTTGTTAATTGTTACCAGAGCCAGATAGTTTTCTCTAAGCCATGCCACAGGACACAAAATCTTTTAAAAAGGGGTGCCAAAACTTAGGCTCCTAGGTCCTTATTTGGGCACTTAATGATTTGGCAACCTAATTTTAGATACTGGGTTTTAAATGTTTTGACCCCTTCCATACTCTCTGCCTCCCCTCCTTGGGCCGTAAGTCTAGGAACAGGACATCCAATATCTTAAGCCAATAAACAAAGACATAACAATTCTCCAAGGAGTCAGAGGGTAGAACACTGTCTCCCTGGCAAGATAAATCATCCAAAGGGGACATGCCTATAATATGAAATATGTAAGCAGTTTGGCAATAGGACAATAAAAAGTTATCACAGAAAGCAAAGGGAAAAGTAAAGAAATAAGACCTAGTCCAATCCTAAACAGCTCCTTTTCAGAAGTGCAAGAGCAATATATGCAGCCATTATTCTTCTGAATCATCTGACTGATTCAACATCCAGCCTATCACTGACTGAAAAAGGGTTTTTTTCAAATTATGGGAAGAAGAGACTATTGATATCAGAAGACCCCATGCAGAGAGTCTACAAGGTGTATTATGTTAACATTTTTATCCCTGTATAATGAGTGTTAGAGGGAAAGTCCTCCATCAACTACACTACCATTTTCTGAGAGCCACATAGTATCTCACCTATATACTATTTCACCAACACGCACTTTAACATATGCTGCAGAACTTAAATCTGAGCCAGGCATATTCCTCACTCAGCTCTCTAAGTATTTGTTCTTCACTTTGTAGCATAATAAGTTACCTATAACTCTGACTTATACAGGTAGAACCTCATTGCAACAAACTCCATTTCAATTAAAATTCCAGGACAATGAAAATATTTCCAAACCCCAGCCAATGGCTCATAGTAAATAGCGCCAAGTGAATCATATTTAAACAAAATCCATTGCTACAAAAGAGTCATTACAACAGACACCCTTTCCAGTTGTTGTATGCGTAACAGTCCCCTGTTAAACAGAATGGACACTTGTCCTGTGACAAAATTGAACAGACAAATGTAATTTGCAAGTCTCAGATCATATGAGTGTACAGTATTCCTCATTTGGAGTAGTCTCTATTATAACATTTCAGTGCTACAAAATAAATGATGCACCCTTTGAAGTATGTCATAATGAGATCCCACCTGTAGTGTGGTAACTTCTTGACTGAACTTCATTACAACTGCCTGTATCAGATTTCAGTTTCAGTAACAAGACTTTGGCTGACCTTAGCTACATCCCTTTTGTATTTTTAGGGAAGATGCTACTGTCACTAACATGGTTACTCTCTAATGATGTTGGGTGTAAAATCTGGCTGGACTGCCTTGGCAAGTTCCTCCGCATACATTTCGTATCTACCTGTCATCTGAAAAAAAGAGCAGAGTTTTAGCTTCTTAAAACAGCTTGCAATTAGCACAGCAGTTCCTAAAATACAGTTCACAACTAGGTGGGCTGCAAAGAAATTCAATGACTGCAGATGGGTTCAGGCTACGAGTTAAACTGAGAGGCCTCACAAGCTGACCAGAAGCTGGGCTGTGAGCTCAGGAATGGGTTCACAGCCCATACAAGTTTGGGAAGTCTTGCATTCCTGGGTCTTGCTTCACCTCACCACTAGCAAGGACCACTACAAATGGTGAACAGAAAATAGCCATTAATGCTGCTTTTTTGGCAGAGAAATAACAGGCTTTCAAAAACAATATGATGTTAATTCACCTGATCTGTACACTTAACCAGCACTCTGATACAAAGACTACTGCACAGCTGCAGAGTCCACTGCCCACTGCAAAAGCTAATGTATTTAATGCACTTAATGTTACAGTCACTGCTTCATGTACAGCGACTCTCCTCGCTTTGTGTGTTCAGTCATATCTTCTGATAAAAATCTACTGATAAAAATCAGAGCTCTCAGCTGTTTATTTCTCTTACCACACAGACCCAGTGCAGGTAAAGGAGGAGCTGTGTTCCCTCCTTTTTTGTGCATCTATTTAATTTGAACTAGGGCAATCAAATTGCAGGGGTGGTTGAAGGCTTTCAACTATTACCCCAGTAACAGCTGAGGGACCCCACTGCCTTTGGTGACTTTACACGGGTGTCACTGAGGGCATTTGTGCTGTAGAACCTTTATTCACATAAGAACTTTTACAGCTTTGATGATGGTCACCTGGTGATGAGGCACAGTAGGGTAAGAACTCAGTTTGATTTTCAGATTCCAGGCATTTAGAAAGAATAATTTTTATACTGAAAATGAGTCCATTTGATATGGAAATCACTGCGCACACATATAGACAGATCCCACGATATTCTTGTCACAGCAAGTGTCTGTCTAGCTATTATGCTTTTGACCAAATCTTTCTGAATATGACTCAATACAGTACCACCTTTCAGAGCATACAAACAGTCTGAAATATTGGTCCTGACAGGAGTCAACTGCTCCCTCTCTTGTCTGAATGAATAATGAAATGCAAGTAGGGCAATTTTTAAATTATTTTCCTTCTGATAATATTAGTGGAAGCATTTAGTTGGATGTAGTGGCAGATTCTAGAACAGATCATGCATCTACTTGCTGTTAAGGACTGTCTAGGATGGGGAACAAATTCATGTCCACCAGAAGTGTTAAAAATCACCTGTCCTGCTCACAGATGGGAAAGTGTTGCCATGACAAAAATCTCAGCTCTCTCATGGATGCCAAAAATATTATCTGCCCCCTTCCTACACCCTCTTGGATGGCAAATGCCCTTGTTATACGTTACTCAGCTAATTCAAACTTCCTACATCCCTGTTTCCATTGTCAACACTAAATTGCTGCATGCTGCAAATGCAAGACTTGGGGGCAGCATAAAATAAACTGAATCCAATATAAACATAGTACCTAGGATATTGTATGGATTATTCAACTCATTTTCTTATTTATAGTAATAACTACCTTTTCATTTGAATGTATATTTGTGCTATTACAGGGCCAGGCCTCATGTACTCCCTGACACACTAGACACGTTGTACAGAAAGGACCCCTGATTTTAATAGTACTGCAAAATTCGGCTCCAGCAGGCCACAGAAAACAGGGCTCCTTTCCACAGTATATAGCTCCAGAGCATCAGAAGAACTCAACTGTTACAAGCATAAGCAATGAGCAGAATGCGATGGCTGAAAGCTGGATATAATTCTGTATAGGAAAAGATGTACAATTCTCTGTTGCCCTAACTTCCTGTTTGTTCATAGCTACCAAAATGCAGTTCCCGAGATGAAACTCGTTGTACAATATGTTTGTGCAGGCTTATAAATTAATGTAAAAATCTTTCAGTTTTTCCCCAAGTTGAAATCAGAGTACCTTTTTCTGCACAGTGAATGTTGCAGCCTACAGGATCCAGCACTGTTGTATATTATGCTATATGAAAAGATAAGTATTTCCTTTGCTTTCTGTGATGTCACAGCCAGCATTTACCATTTCTTTTCTTGGAAGTAAACGTTGAACATTGAAGTAAAATATCTCTGAAGCACTCAGGCAGGGAGAACCAGGGTATAAAGGTTACTACCCAGGGGGTTTGCCATCCTGGTTGCCAGGAGTCAAAGTGCAGGCTGGGTTTGTGGGTGACTGGAAAGTCTGGCGTTCCAGATCTCTAGCAGTTCTAAGGTTTAGAACTCAGGGCTTGTCTACAAAAGATACTTCAGAGGATGAATCTAAATCAACAAAAGCTGAGAATTTAAAACAAATGTTTTAAGATCACAGGAAATCTATGCATGGGTCCTCTTACGGAGACCTGAAGGAGCCTATATTTGGTTTAGTTTCATTCAGCAGTCTTTTAATTTTATATTTTTAAATTAAAAGATATAAGTGATGAATGGAGGCAGTTATCCAGGGCTTCAGACTGTCTGTAGACTCTGGAAGTCAGCACTGTATCAGTTAACAATCTGGTTATATCTTCAGTCTGTTCCAAATGAAGCTAGCACACTGTCCCAGGGACCAGGTCAGGCTTCTTTACAGAATATAAAGACTCACCTTAAAATTCCATTTGTCACTGACTTGCCTGCAAAGGTTTAGATCCATCTCGGCAACCAAAAGCCCATCCTGCGTGCGGGACAGTCCAGGAGTTCTACTGCCATCTGGGGCAGCCACGTAACTCGAGCCATAGAAATAACCCAAGTCATGGTGTGCTTAACAACAATAACAATATTAATAACAATTATAACCACAACAGATCAATCCATAATGTCACATGCTTCACAAGTTCCTTTCCCAAACTGCCCCAGGACTGCTTCTCTTGGTTCTTACCCAGCTGGGCTCTTGTTAAAGCTAGGTATTGTCTAACTCAACAAGCCACTGTGAGGCCATAGGATAAAATTGTCTCTCTGACTTTTAGTGATGTCCTTGTGCAGAGGACAGTTTCCATGTGTGCCATGCTTAGGTAGGAATCCACCTAACTTGTGAGTTTTACATAACATGTTATTTTGTTTGCTACTGTTTAAGAGTCTTTGCATTTGAACAGAAACTTAGTGTGATTTTACACATGCTCGGGGGGGGGGTATGCTTTAATTAACACGTTCCGGCAGACTTGATTAATTGAGTCTGCTCCAATATGTTCTAATTCAAATGCATAGGAGCAGGCATCGGACACATGTATAGGTGCCCTAAATTAGCATCTCCTCTCATTTATCCCACAATTAAGTAAATGCAGGTGGCAACTTCACAATCTTTTTCAAAACCACCAATAAAGCATGCAGCTTTAGGTCTCCAATGCAGGATCAAAAAGTTAGCCACATGCATCAGACACGTCTGCAGTTCTGGACTCTTCATTGAAAAACATATACTGCTGGCCTCCCTGGTACAGCTGCCGCAAAACTTAAACTCCTATGTCTGGCTAAGACAAGGACCTGGTAGAAGTGGGCTGGTTAGGGCTAAGGCTTAACCAGCCCAGGCCAGATAAGCCAAAGATGCTGATAGCTGCTCTGGAGTTTGTGATGTTGCTGAAACTGATCTCATGACAAAACAGGTTCAGAGTCTCAAGCTATTCTGGATTTGTGTCTACATTACTTGATGACCTGGCAGAGTATGAGTTGATCTGGCTTTCAGAGTTCATCTTTTTTGTTTTCATGCCCACAATGAGTGCAAGTGATTTATTATGTTTTTTTTCTTTTTTCTCTTACATTTCATATACTGCTAGTGCTTTTCTTTTCCTGTGATATTCCCTGGAGCCAACATTTACAATGATATAGAAGTAAAGAACTTAAGAAAACTAGCTGAGTACATTTCAGTTTGCTCTAGTGAAAGTGCCTCTGAAGTCTGTCTTCACCACAGTTAGCTCAGGCTCTTACCCCTTCTGCCCACACATAAAACCCCTTCAACCTCACTCAGGCCTAAGGGTGTCTGTGCTAACTGGTTTGGCTGGGGATTATGAGTTAAGCCCTTGACTGCTATTTTAACCCAAACTATTAACCCACCTATTTTGCTGGGAGGGTTCAGGCTAGATCACTGAGTGTTCACAGTTCTCCACCGCCTTCCTATAATTCAGCTTATGTTCTTAGAAGGACACACAATTTCTCCCAAAATGCACTGGGAAAGAAACAGAGTGTCTCAGCCTACTGCAATCATAGGGAACTATGGAGGGTGCCTGTAGAAGTCTTAAGAACACTCACCAAGTCAGAGTAACCCTGATTTGGCTTTACACTCGCACCCAGGTACAAATCACTCGAGTTAAATGTGCAGGGCAGACATACCCCTAACATCTAGCTTTCCACCCATGAACTATTTGTAGAGAAAGCATTGCAACAGGAGCAATAAGACCACATTTCTGACATTAGGATTGTTACACAGCTGCATAAGCTAGGTGTCCATAGCCAACTACCACAAAAAATGGGAAAAAAATTATAAAGGCAGTAAAATAAAGGAGTGCAGTAAGATAGGACATCTTTACACCTGCTCCAGGGTAGAGTGCTCTGAGAGCTGCACTAATTAAAGTGCCCATAGCATCACATATTCAATGCCCCACACTTCAAAATGGTGGCAGGGGAGCTTTAACTAAATGGTGGCAGGGACACTGAAAACACGTGATGTGGAGACTGCTAGAGTGAGTGAATTAGCACGCTCCAGCAGACTCAATTAATCAAGTCTGCTCCAACATGTACTAATTAGCATGGCTGTGCAAAACTCTGGTCACTGATTCAATTCAGAAGAGATTTGGCCCAATTTGGCAGCTGAATCTCCGAATCCAAATCAAATCATATCAGGAGACCCGTTAAGCTCTCTGAATCGAATCAGAAGCCTCCAAATCAATTCGGAGAGAGTCAACGATTTGGCCATAGATGCAGCTTTGTATGTTTTTTTCTACATACCTCGAGGTACCAGGCGTGGCTCATGAACGCTGAGACGGTGGGGCAGATAGAGCGTACCACGGGTGCGTGGGGGACGACCCCCACCCCCCGTGCTTGGTGGCAGACCCATAAGCGGACCAGAAGTACTTCTGGTCCACTTCTGGGTCCGCCATTGGGTGCAGGGGGGACCAACATCCCCCCTGCCTGGTAACTGGTGCCTCCTGGTTCTGGGGGGCACCTGGGCTTTCCCCATGGCTGATCGCCATCCAGGGGGAGGGTCTTCCATGCACTCAGCGGGAAGTACTTGTGGTCCACTTCTGGGTCCGCTACCAAGCGCATGGGGAACCCCCCTGCACTCCCATGGGACACTCCATCTGCCCCACCATCACAGCATTCACGAGCTGCGCCTGGTAACTTGAGGTACATAGAAAAAACATATAAAGCTGTGTCTATGGCCAAATCGCTGATTCTCTGAATCAGAATCAAATCTTCAGATTCAGCCAAATTGGGACAGTGATCTGAATCAGCAAATTGAATCACTGTCCCCCAAACTGGGCTGAATCCGAATCGAACACTGCCCTCTTCGCACACCCCTACTAACCAGCACACGTCGGAGCAGATATCCAACATATGTATAGGTGCCCAAAGTTTCCTGTACATTTTAGCTGCAACCCAAACAGGTACCTCATATACTATAAGTTATGTGACTACCGTTATATATTAACCTTTTCACACACGAGATTCAATAGTTCATACATAAGTCTGGATCTGGACAACTCAAAACTAGCCATCTCTCCTATTAACTTACCCATATAGCTATAGTCCTTAGTAATGAAATCCCCGCCTCTTGTAGATTTTAAATAAGAGCATTAATTATACACTACACCAACAACATGGCAGATCTGTGGGGTTTTGTCTTGCAACCCTCAGAGTTTATGGCCTAAACATAAATGATACAGAAGCTCCAAATAAGGACCTCCAGTGACCATATGTCAGGAAAGTGCCTTTTATGTCCACCACGTGAAACAGCATTTCCAAGAAATAAAGCAACCATCAGATGCTACAGCTGTCATAGAAACTACAGGTAGTTAGCAAGAAAGAGACCCACTTCTTCAGACCTGGGATATCAACAGCTCTAAGGTACCAGAGAATTTGTTTGCCACACATACCTTTCCTACCATCTCCAGATGTGAATGCATTCGTGTAATGTTCCTGTGAAACAAAGGACAGTTTGAAATGAATCTGTAGATGGCACTATAATGCTGCTTCATTCAAGAGACACTTGCAATACAAGGGATGTAATGTTTAATAAGATAGCTTATATAAACTAAGAGTTTAGAATGCTTTGCCTAGTCCTATTAAGACTTGTCTGGCTTACCAGCAACAGTGCTGGAAGTGGCCTAGTTTCTCAATTCAAGATAGTGATTGTCTTGTTATAATGGACTAGCCTGGAAAACGAGCATTTACTTGGGCAACTGCCTACTATTCATGCAGCTTTGGGGCATATAGTGATACCAAAACATTACAGCTCTTGTAACAAACCCAAGTTCGTTTGTTTTTTTTAAACTTAAAAATGTATTCCCTCCCCTTCCCCAACCATTTCTAACTTTCTCTCTGCCCTCTCTATCCCTTATAAGTGATTAGAAGTAGTACTAGGTAAGCTAAGCTAAGTTCTTATATTCCCTTATAGTAACAAGCCCCTTTTATATTGTAAATAGTGTTCTATTATAGTTGTATTGATTTTTACTGTTTTACATTGAATTTATATGATTTAGACCTATGTCTGTAAAGTAATGTCAAGCCTCCATCTTGTGTCCTCCGCCCAGGTGTAACCTATGTTGTAAATGTGACTCACTTCTAACCAGTCTCATGTAAATTGGTTCCTGAATGAATGGGAATGAATGAAGGTGCTTGAGTTACAATGGTAGCAGGCCTCTACTGAATGATCAACTCAACGACCGGACGATTGCCTTGAATTCACTCACCCAGGAACCACAGACCTCATCCAGGAACAGAACAGAAACCCAGCATTTGAAAGACAAAGACCCTGCAGAAACCAGCAACCCCACCATTGTGTCCTAGCAGACAATGACGACACCTGGATCTGCACATAGGCATCTGAACAGGACTGTCCTTGCCTGGACATGTCCCTCCCATAGGAGACACAGGTAGCCCACCCCTATAAAAGGGGTGGTAGAGTGTGACCTCCTTGGGACACCCTCTCCATCTGGACCACCACTATGCCATGCCACTCAGAGGACCCGCCGGTGACCCCCTCTGGACAACACCTTGCTGGAGAAGACCCTGACTGGCCATCGAGGATCTACTCACAGCTCAGGATAGGCAGCTATCACCCACCTTCCTTCCCCAACCAAAGGACCTGGACTCTGTCCCTACACACCTTGACTTCAATCCCTCCACCAAGCCTTTTTCTCTCCTGCTACTATTGTGTGGGTGTGTATGTGAGTGCTTGTGTGTGTGTAGGAACCAATAACTTTGTGGGGCTGTGTAATGTGTTGTATGTTCAATAAACCTGTTATTTTGAAACCCCAAGTTGGGTTTTTGTCTTACTGACCTCCTGACCCTCCTCGATTTCTCGGCTTTCTCCCTTGGTTCTTTCTGCCTCATTTCCAGCCCTGATCTCCCAGCTTTCTGCCCCTCCTTTCAGCCTCAATCTCCCAGCTTTCTGCCTCTCTGTTTCCTGGCTGTCTCCTCCTTGCCACTGGGCTTTTTCCCTCACTTCCACCCCAGCACCAGGTGACCCTGAGTAACCCCAGGGCACATTAACCTTAAGTAACCCTAAGCCCCAGTGACCTCGAGTAACCCCAGGGGCCACAGTGACCTTAAGTAACCCCCAGCCCCAGTGACCTCGAGTAACCCCGGGGCCACCTGATCTTAAGTAACCCCAAGCACCAAATTACCCCAATGCCCCCTAGTGTTAACACACAATCACGACGGTGTATGTTTGTGTGTGTACATGTGTGTGTGAACTCATGGTGGTGTTTGTGTGCGTGTATAATTGTGTATCATGCCCTCCTGTCTAATAGTGCAATACTGGGATCCCGAGTGTTGATCTGACGTGTGTCAAGTCAACACTGATGTAGAAACATTTAAATGAAGAAATTTACACACAGCAGAACATAGGCTGCCAACAGTAAAGCAGCTCCATCTCCCTGCTGACTATGAATAACAGTAACACTTTCTAGTCCTCAAAGCACATGACAAAAAACTAGAAAAGTAGAGCTCAGACTGAACAGAGAAATACTAGAGTTTTTGGAGTATCCTAGTGCTATCATATAATTTATTAGCTAGGATCACGATGTGTTATGATACCTGGAATACAAATCTAAAGCTACAAAGCTACTTACAGTTCCTACTCGGTTTATGGCACATGTAAAGCAGTGGTTAGCAATGGCTGCGTTCCTTGCTTCAATTGGCCACATTGACTCACTGCAGAAGAATAACAAAAAGGGGTGGTTCGTCATTCTTTTTATAGCTCATAACTAAATTCGGATTCTTTATGAAGTTGAGGACATCACACAATCTTGAGTTTCCCCCACCTTTTAAGACAGGTAATAAGAAATCAAATTTGTCTGAATGCTAAGAAAAAAATCTCCACCCGTCATGTTCCCCTTCTGTCTGGGGGCTTCACAATCATTTCCAAGTCATTCCCCTCAAGCTTGGCTGAGGAAACAAGACAAAACAAAAGCAGCTCTGTAACCTTTTAATAATTATCCATTCATCTACTGTCTAAACTATACAGAAAGCCAACAACAGAAAAATGGGAAAGGACATCTCCATTTAAACTTTCATTCTTTTCTGAAATAAGTGGCATCCAGAATTGGAACTCCTAAGACTCAGGCTGCCTTCTTCTCATTGAGCATATGAAAACACAGGAATCAGATCCTTAGATTCCCTACTACATTAAAACCAAGACGACAGAGTGTATGATCTTCTGCAAATCCTTCTCATGACAGCATGTACCTCCCTGATACTGAGAAGGGCATAGGTGGATAAGTCTAACTCCCAAGGAGGCTCGGGCATATAAAAGATGATTACTGGTTTACAGAAACAACATGGTGTATGGCTCTGAGCCAAGCTGCCAGCTCTTATAAGAAAAAGGGATTTTACTGAAAAGCTCCTGCAAATTATAACTTCATGAAAGGAGAGAGAAAAAGGAAAAAAGAATATATCCATAATATTATCACAGACAGTTTTCTTCCAGTTCCCCAGAAATAGTTTTTTTTGCATCAGACTCAAGAGTTCTCTTCTTCCAATAAAAATTATATCCTCAAAAAGCAATCAAGAAAAGAAAGCCAATAATTACCCTGGAGCACCCAGAGAAGCAATGAAGTACCTCATGAAGGTACATAATTTCTGTTTACTCTCTTCTTTATGGGCTGTAAGTGGATCACCATCATAAATATTCTTCTAAAAGTGGCATTTGTGAAGGCCACTAGAAAAGATATTGTATTTGTTAAACTCATTTCTAAGAACTTTTCCAACATTAAACAATCTAAAACAGTCATTATCAGCTCTTATATTAAAAGAGAATTGCCTCAAACAGCCTGAATGACAGGATACTACTTCAGAATTACTGTCACTCTCTGTCCCTGGACTGGAATTGTTTATGGGCATGTGATTTACCTTCACTGCACATTTGTCATAATTACACTACAAATATGAAAGGCTCTGTTCTGGTTAGTTGTTGTATTCAGCAGAGGAAAAAAATTACAAGAAAGGAGAGAGGAGAAAGAATGAGCTAACGAAAATGTGGATGTCAAAACTCTAAAACAGGATTCCTCAATCCATGCTTTAAAACCCTCTTTTCTCTCTCATCCTGGTCAGCAAGGCTCTTGGTTCCTTGTGTAGTTTACATACTTATGTTACATCAGGAGAGCCCCCTGTTATATTTTAGCAATGTTGATTTTTTAATAGATTTTCTACTTTCATTTATGATTTGCATATTACAGTTCACCCTCTGAGAGAAACAGCACACCATGCTTTTTGTCCAGTTCAAAATGCCTGATGAACTGAAATTTGTAAGAGAGAAAAGTCAAGTCTGGGATGGAGGTCACCATGGACACTTAGAATTTTGAAAAGGGGGGGTGCAGTTGCTGGGGTGCATCATATATAAAACAACACATTTTTCTCCAGTTAAAAATAAACTAGAAGCTTTACTAATATGCTAGGGGCCTAGGGCTGTGTTATTCAGTTTAAGATTGAGGTAAAAATAAGTACAGCTTCACTGTAATTAGTTAAAACAGTCTGCAGGGCTGTGAAATAAGAACTCCATTACCAGGAGCAGCTAGCAGACAGCAGAATTGCAGAACAAAGGGGAGTGTGATGGGTGGAACATCAAGACCATTAAATCAAAAAAGAGAGGGTTGTTAAAACCTGTGGAATGAAGAGTTTAGAAGGTAGCTGGTGGATTATAACGAGCCATGAGGTCAATTGACTCCCTCAGCACTGCCCGACTCGAAATGCTGCTGCCACTGCCAGGCAGTTGGTCTTGAACTTTGGGTGGAGCAGGAATCAAAGTGGGGTGCAAATGCACCAGTGCAGCCTCCCGGGTCTGTCCCTGGAGGTCACTCACCTGAGATCTAAGAACTGATCAACTCGATACTGTACCTGATAGTACCTCCATGGAAAATGGACAATTGCCCAGTCACTAAGCATGCCTCTGAAATGTCCACTGTTTTAAATGTTGAGCTATACTACTGTTGCCCTAAACAAAGAGACATTTGCTTAGATGGGCTTCATAGATCACTGGGGCCTAAGTTATAGAACTGGTTAAGGCTGCATGCAAATACTTAATCCACCAGCCCCTCATCTAATGAAGGAGGGTGAACACTGCTGAATATATTAATAATATTATCATGCAAAAAGTTTGGCAGGCATGTGTCCCCTTATTGAAACTATGAACAAAAACAGCTTCTTCCTTGGGCTTGACTCCTTCTGCATTAACGGAAATGGATTTTGTGCTCCTCAGAAAAGGATGATTGCTTAACGAAATGCTTGGCTCCACCTTTAATATTTCTCCTTCTAACAGGAACATGTCAGAGACTGCAAAACTGGTGATCTACTTGGGCCAAAAGTGACAACTTCTTTCCTTACTGGTACTGCAGTAACACCTAGATAAAAACTGAAACTGGAGCGCCACTCTGCTGGACACTACAACAGCGAAACTGTGTCCTTGCCCCAAGAGTACACAACTGATATCAGCTTTTACTTAGCAAGCATGACTCTCAGTTTCAGATGTAGTAGAAAGGCAGAAGAAAAGGAAAAAGGAATTCAGTAGATTCATTTATGCACATTACTTTGCAGAACACTAACTCTTTGAGTTTGTTAAATAACACTTTTTTGATAACTTATTCCTGCTATAATTAAGAGACTTTATAAATGTTGCTTCTCTGCACTGGAAAGAGAACAGCATCAAGGAAACAGAGAAAAGATAATATAATAAAGATCCTTGGGAAAAAATGCATATTTAGATAAGTTTCCAGCACAGAGTGTGAAAGTATCACTATGCTTTCTGTGTGTAGAAGTGTGTGTCCTACAGAATTAGATTGCTTTTCACAGCCTCCCATCATGTGAATAAATGGAGAAAGCACACATGTCAATATGATCCTTTGACACACTCTGGAATGCTGGACCTCAGGACTACGAAGAACTCAAAATGTCTATTCTTTGTAAGGCAAGAAATAGAAGAAACTGAGAATGCAGTTGGCGCTTATACATGAGCAGAGGAACCCACCACCATTTTAAAGAGCAGGGATGCTGATACACGAGATGTGGAGGTGCTTTAGAGAGGCTCTTGGAGCCACTCTAATTAAAGCACCACCCCTCTACCCCTGGAGCATGTGTAAAAGTGCCCTAGAGACAGCCCAGAAAAGAGGAATAATGTGCAACTGAAAACATTTTTAAATGTTGTTTTCCATCTACAGCAGTTATGAAGAATTAGTTCAACCTCCTGGTAAATAGGGATAAACAACTATTTCATACCACAGTATAGTAGCCCAAGCAGTGTACAACCTGTGACAGAAATAATGCTTTGGAAGCATGGGATAACCAAGGATTATAACCCTGAGATGTGATGGGTGGTAGGCACACATGGTATGTTCAAATATTCTTCCATCACTTCTTAAAGTGTTAGACATATGCTTTTATGGGCAGGTTAGAAATTTTATTCCTGACTCAATAGAGGAGTTTCCACTAGGAAATAAGGGCATTGGGCATGTCTATATGTGCGCCCGACTGCGCAGTTGTTACTATACATTACTGCACAGTCCCAGCGGCACACAGGTCGTTTCCAACCCTACCACACAGTAACTCGTTGCTACTGCACAGTAGCATCAGTGTTGTAGTTCATGCCCGCTTATGCTACATCACCGTAGCTCATTGCTACAGCAATGTAGCATCTCATGTAGACGCACCCCCTGAGAGGTAATTAATATAAATCCTTAATGCAGATGATGCATCAGTTTCAAGAGGCCTGTAGAACTGTAAACTGGGGAAGAGAGAAAGGCCTGGTCTGGGAGGGAGATCACTCACCTGGGATCGAAGAACTGACAAATTTGATACCATACCTGTACTGTACCATGGAAAATGAACTATCACCTGATCAGCAAATCACACACCTGAAATGTCTATTGTTTTGTTTTCTCTATAACATTTTTGTCTTAAACAAACAGTCTTTTGTTTAGTGAAAGCTGGCTGGACACTGTTATTTATGTTGTTGTCCCTGGGATACAACAGAGCTACAAGTGCTGAACTAAACTGATTTCTGAGGGATAATCATAGTGAATTGCACAGTAGCATTAAAATTTGGTCTCAATGGATAGATTTCCATGTTGACAAAAGTGACTGCAGTCACTCCTCACTGAGTCAGGAATAATCCCAAACTTAAGTGGGATGGCTTTAAGGCAACAGTAAAAGGGTGAGAAGTACAGTTAATGCAGGAACCGTGATACAGCCCAAAAGCTGCTTTTCACTTACCTGAGCTCTCCAATAGTTGCTGAAGGGTTAAAGATAATCTCTGCTCCATTTATGCTATACATGAGCCAGTTGAGTGGGTGATGGCGCCCAAAGCAGATATTCACAGCAATCCTCCCAAACTGAGTCTGGAACACTGGATGCCCTCTGTTGCCTTCCATATAGTAGGTAGACTGGGGAAGGGGATAGGGGGTGCAAATCAAGCAGGTGTCTTAAAGCACCATCTTCAGCCAACAGACTGTAACTTTTGTTGTTCTTCAAAATACATTCCACAAGTTTAAAGACAGTAAGTACATCCAGAATCTTAGAAAATGGCGACAAAGCCTATCCTCCTGCTGTGGAACAGGCCTCACTAAGTGCCACATATAGTGCTTGTTGTTTTCTTACAGAAATGTGAACTATCTGCTAGGGTAGGTCTTCACTGCAGTTAACTCAGGTGATCAGCATCCAGGGCTAAGCACCTTAGTGAGTCTAATCCAGGTGTGAGTAACTGTATAGCAAATCCACTCTCATATTAGTGTCCTTGCTGGTGCTGCATTCAGCCATGCAAGTCGCTAGGATTTCTAGGCATATCCTGGCATTGTTTGTGTTCTAAGCTTTAGAGATCTTTGATTCTTTGCTAGAGAGCAACAGGATGCAATTCAATAAGGACAAGTGCAAGGTGCTGCATCTAGGAAGGAAGAACTGCCATCATACCTACAGGCTGCGGGGCGACCTTCTCAGGTCCACTGAGGCAGAAAAAGATCTTGGAGTCACTGTTGACTCCAGGATAAACATAAGTCGCCAATGTGATGAAGCAGTTCATAGACATTTGGGCTGGAAGGGACCCTGGAGAATCGAGTCCAGCCCCCTGCCCCAGGGGCAGGAAGTCAGCAGAGATCATAGGATCCCAGCAAGATAAGCATCCAAATGTGTCTTGAAGGCGTTCAAAGTGGGTGCTTGAACAGCCTCCGGCGGCAGTCTATTCCAAACCTTGGGGGCTCAGACAGCGAAGAAGTTCTTTCTTATGTCCAGCCTGAATCGGTCACAATGGAGTTTGTGACCGTTCGATCTTGTCATCCCTTGGGGTGCTCTGGTGAACAGACGTTCCCCCAGATCCTGATGAGCACCCCTGATAAACTTATAGGTGGCCATCAGATCACCCGAGCCTGTGCTTTTCCAGGCTGAATAGCCCCATTGCTTTCAGCCTCTCATCATAAGGTCTGTTTTCCTGACCTCTGATAATGCACGTG